TAAGTACAATGGAAGACTAGTACTTTTCTTTCTTCTTCTTTTTTTTTTTTTAGAGACAGAGTCTCAAGCTGTAGCCCTGTGTAGAGTGTTGTGGCATCACAGCAAACTCTAATTCTTGGGCTTAAGTGATTCTTTTGCCTCAGCCTCCCAAGTAGCTAGGAATACGGGCACCTGCCACAATGCCTGGCAATTTTTTTTGGTTGTAGTTGTCGTTTGGCGGCCCCGGGCCGGATTTGAACCTGCCAGCTCCTGTGTATGTGGCTGTCGTCCTAGCCACTTGAGCTATAGGCACCAAGCCCAGCCTTTATTTAAGAAACATGATACATGTGATTTCATCAAGTAGCACAGTTCATACATTCTTTCTTCCTAGAAGCATCATTCCCCAGTAAACAAGAAGGCAGCATAGAACTTGAGTGTGGGCTCTGCGCCTTATGGCTCAAGTGGCTAAGGCACTAGCCACATATACCTAAGGTGGCAGGTTCGAATCCAGCCCGGGCTGCCAAACAACAATGACAGCTGCAACCAAAAAAATAGCGGGCGCCTGTGGTCCCAACTACTTGGGAGGCTAAGGCAGGAGACTCGCTTGAGCCCAGGAGTTGTAGGTTGCTGTGAGCTGTGATGCCATGGGACTCTACCCGGGGGACAGCTTGAGGCTCTGTCTAAAAAAAAGAACTTGAGTGTGGTTCCAGATATTCAGTCTCCTGTCTCTCCTCTCCCCGGGAGCGTCTGCCTGGGGACCTTCCTCTTCCTCTCCACACTGCTTCCTTTTTATTTTCAACACACTGAACTGCAGGGAAGTTCGCTTATGACCCTTGGTTGTGGCAGATCCTGTCCTAAAAGTCTTGGGGACACACTGAAGGAAAGCAAGCTTCTTACATTCCCACCGTTTTGTTGAGGCAGTGCCAGAATTGTAGAGGCCTCAGAGACTTATTTGCCCTAGAAGAAGTAGGAGAAAATAAAGAAGTAAAAAGAGTGGATTTGTACAAGACAGTAATTCCTAACTACAGGGACTCATCAGAATCTCCTGAGTGGTTTTAATAGAGTAATAGTGCTGGATCTCTCCTAACTCTATTAAATTGCATGTGTGGTACAAGCAATGACTGTTGCCAGAGCTTTCCAGCTGACATGGAAGAGCACCTCTGGTTGAAGCACGAGGACTTCAGTCCTTTCAGGGGAGGGGTGACACTGAGCTTAATAGAGCTCATTTGGGATTAAACTGCCCCTCAACTGGGCAAAATTGACAGTTTTTCAATATAACAAGTAACTTTAAGGGACCACAGAGTGAACTCTTAACCAGATTAAGACTGCGTTTTAAGGGTGGCGCCTGTGGCTCAAAGGAGTAGGGCGCCGGCCCCATATGCTGGGAGCAGCGGGTTCAAACCCAGCCCCGGCCAAAAACTGCAGAAAAAAAAAAAAAAAAGACTGCGTTTTAAGAGAAGGAAAAACAGGTGCAAAATGGGTCTTTCTTAATAAAACCAATTGCTTACCTGTGTCATTTTTTTTTTTTTGGTAACATTAAAGGAGCCAAGTTTTGCTAGTGGCAGTCTACAGGTTAAAGCACTTACATCTATCTCTTCCTTCTAGGTCTTACACAGGTGTTCACTTTGCTTTCCCCCACGGTTTTTGTCTGGGTTGAATCATTTTCCTTTTGGCTCTGAGTGCACTGGCCTTACAATAAGCCCTTCCTTTCTCAAACCTGAAATTGAACCCCAGGAGCGTGTCTTTCCTGGGCACCAGGGGCCGTGCTAAGCGCCTCACCTGCTGACCATGTTTACTTCAGTGTGTTCTCATTTGCTTTTCTGCAGTTTGCCATAGAGAAGCTGACAGAACTGGAACACTGGAAACGAGAACTCCAGGATGAGGCCCACACCCTTATAGATTTTTTCTGTGAAGACAAAGAAACCATGAAACTGGATGAATGTCTGCAGATATTTAGAGACTTCTGTACCAAATTCAACAAAGCAGTTAAGGTATGGCCGGTGACATACCTGTGTTTTTCTTCTTCTTGACCCAGTCCTCTGCCATGGCAGAAAGACAGTTCAGTGTTGACATGATTTCAGGAATGTCTGGCCCAGGTGGTGTTGCCAGCCCTGTGGTGGAGATTGCTGGGAAGTAGCTCTGCCATCCCAGCCCTGAGGCGTCCATATCATTAGGAATCTGGCATTTGGCTGCCTCTTCTGCTTTGCTGCTCATACCAACATTCATATTAATGCCCTAAAAGCCTTTTGTTAGTAAAGTTGCCCTGTGATGGCAGTCATAATATTTAAAAGTCTCCTGAAGATCTTAATGTCTTTCTCACCCATTTCCCCAAAACAGAATGTCCTCTTTCAGGGGGACTTCTGCTGCTGATAGGTAGGACCTCCCTGCCACCTGTTCCAAGCACCCACCATCACTTGGGGTTGGCACCACAGGAATTGAGCAGCCCTCAAAATGGTCAAGTATCTACAAAGCCTGCTGCTATATTGAGTACAACAGCTACATTTCTTGCTCTTCTACCATCAATTCCAGTAATCTCTTAGTTCAATTTAGAAGCCAGAAAACTCTCTGGGTTTGCTTGGCTCTGTAAATAAAACTTTAATCTGCCAATTAAAAGCGAAGTAGCAGTTTGAATCCTTTCATTTCAGGTGGTGATGAGGAATCAAATACTTGTGAGTCACCTCTTCCCCTGCAGTTTTGTCCATGGCTGAGTTTCTTTGAGGGACTTTCTTTCAGGCCCAGAATTTCTTTGCATTCTAAACCCCTCCTTCCTCTGTCCAGCTGAGAGAAAGAGGTTCAGCCTGTGGCCACGTTTACACTCCTCTGGCCAAGCAGTGAGCTCAGCTGTGGGAGGCAGTGGTGGATGTAGAGGCCAAGTTGGCTCCTTCGGAGGCCCTCACTCCTATTTGGAATTCTGTAGGCCCGCGAGGCCACCTGTGTGATGCTCTGAGCCCAGCTGTCCTGAGTGCCAGGAACTGGCCCCCACCCCCACCACAAGCAGCCTTGAAAGGAGAAGGTCTGAGAGAGGTGGGGACGATGGGAGAGGCTGAGGCCAGAACTGCAGGAGGAGCCAAGAGTCCCCAGCCAGAGCCTCACAGAAACTTGGAAGGGAAAGTCCATCATTGAAGGAAATTGGTTTTCAAGGAAAAACTGCTAACGATAACAGATTTGGGTTGTGAGATCCACATATTTACATGACACGAATACAGAGGGTGCCAAAAATATGTATACACATTTTAAAAAAGGAAAAAACTGTATCAGACTTGTAATACTCAATGTCTATGGATAACAAAAGATGAGTGCAAGTCCTGTTGGAGCACCCCTAACAACCGCAGAAGTGAAACATGACTTTATTACAATTTTAAAACAGTTTTTTCTTTTCTAAAAATGAAATGTCTACATTTTTTGGCACCCTCTGTATATTTAAAGCACACAGCCAGGTGGTAAAGTGCGATTTGGTGTGCGCCTATGTTCTGGTGCAGTTTCCTTGGGAAGGGCTAAGTGCTTTGGAGCTGAGTGAAATTGTTGAAGGATTAGTAAAGTATACCTGCTCCTCTTCTCTGACTGTAGGAATGGGTTGGGGCATAAGTGACAGAGACACCATAGTATTTGCATTTTTTTTTTAAACCAAGGAGCAGTCAGAGAACAGAGTTGAAAGTCATCTCTTAATCTGTAATACACATTATGTATCCAAAGTGGTGTTAAGTAGCAGGTGCTGCATCTGAAGGTGTGTGTGCACCTGTGGATAGATCCACACAACACAGAAGCACAATTTGAGGCTCACTCTTTAAACACTCATAGTATTTTCCCTCAGCCATTGCCTCTGATAGCACTTTGCTAGAAATCCTCTGTCTTGGACTGCTAAGGCACCAAGCTGACTTTCCTTGGAGTTGAGGTCTCATGCATTTTATGCGGAATCACAGCCCACAGTGAGCTGACCAGGCCTTGGCTGGGTAGCTGAAGTTGGGCCCAAGGATCAGATGCACACTGTAGACAGATGGTTGGGGCCAGGCCTAGTGTGTCCCTCTGGTCAGCTTTGGAGAGCCTCCCCAAACCTACACACACACACAGAGTTTCTTTCCCAGTGTGGGGCATGACCCACAGAGCTCCGTCTGTACTGTCTCTCTCCTTGGGTAGGTGGCTCTAAAATTGCACCTTTGTCCCAGGGGTTTCATGCATCTTCGGGCTTCTCTTCACCTCTCATTCAGGACAACCACGACCGTGCCATCCAGGAGCTGAGGCAGCTGCAGCGGCTGAAGGAGCTGGAGCAGAAGCGGCGCTCCTGGGCAGTCGGGGAGCTTGGGGGCTTTGGCCGGAGCAGCAGTGAGAGCGACGTGCTGCTGCTGACCCAGAAGGGTGCGGAAGACCTGCTCCCTTTCCTGCACCCCAGGCCCATCAGCCCTTCATATAGGCCCCCCAACTCCCGCCGCTCGCGCCTCTCCCTGGGCGTCTCTGCCGACCGGGAACTGCTGACCTTCTTGGAGAGCTCCACCAGCAGCCCCGAGGACAACAGCAGGTTCAACAGCCTGCCCCGGAGCAGCAGCCCTGGGCAGAACCGGCCCACACTAGCCTGGATGGAGCCTGCAGAGCCGAGGGACCCCAACTCCGACTTTGGGCGCAAACCTCAGGCCTCCGAGGGCCGGGAGAAAGCCCCACTTGCGGCTACCCAACGTGAGGAGGCCGCCGGGGCCTCCCCGCGGGCTGCGCGCGGGGGTTACAGTCTACTGCGAAAGAGGTACAGTGAGCCTGTGGGCTTGGGTCAGGCTCGGTCCCCTCCGCTCCCACCGCTGGCTCTGGGGATCAAGGAGCATGAGCTGGTGACTGGGCTGGCCCAGTTCAATTTCCAGGGTCCCAAGATTCCGGAGGAGACGTCCCGGCTGACCTCGAACGACTTCAGCCCAGCGGAGATAGGGTCTCCGGGGGATGAGCGCCCCCAAACCCTCAGTGCCGGCCACCAGGGCGCTCTCAGCTTGGCCCCTGAGGAACCTGGCGATTCGGCCCTAGTGTCTGCGGGCAGCAGCGACCCTGACAACAAAGATCCTGGGCCTGTGTTCTACCTGTCGGACACCACAGACTGCTCGCTAACCCTGGACTGCTCGGAGGGGACCGACCCCAGACCCGCGGCGGGTGAGCGGGAGGGAGGGGGCGAAGGGGACGGCTCGGTGTCCTCCGGGGCTGCGGAGGCCGGCAGCAGCCAGGTCTCCTCTCGTGCAGCCTCCAGCCCCCCTGCGGAGGCTCCTGACCCGGTCTCGGAGAAGAGCGAGCCCAGCTGCGAGGCTGGCCTTCCCAGGGACAGCCCCGCCAAAGGCAAGGATGTTACAACGCCGAAGAGAAGCTCCCTCCGAGAGGCGCCCGCGGGGGCCCCCAAGCCGGGTGGCATCCGGCGGGGCCAGGTCCCTGCGCCCCGGCCGGTGCGGACGCTGACAGCGTCGGAGAGCGCGACCATGCGCAAGGTCGTGCCGCTCTCCAAGACCGGCCGGGCCCTGGGCGGCTGGAAGCGGCCGGAGCCGCAGGGCCGGGCACCCCCCGGGGACGCCCCCGGCGGCACAGACACGCTGTGGTCGCGCCGGAGCTCAGTGAGGGGCACCAAGGACACGTCCCCCAGGAGGCCCTCCGCGGGGACCCGGGTAGCCCCCGAGGAGCAGAGGCCGCCGCGCGGGGGCGGCGCGATCAGCGCCCGGCAGGGGAAGGAGCCACAGCTGCAGCGCGGGGGCTCCCTCAGGAAGCCCAGCGCCAAGCCCCTCAGGAACGTCCCCAGACCGAAGCCAGAGGAAGACAAGATCTGCCGCTCCCACTCCCAGGACCCTGAAAGTCCGGAAGAACAGCCCAAGACGCCTCCGGCCCCCAGCGTCCCTCGGGTCCCGCCCCCTGTCCCGAGCTTTGCCCGAAACACCGTGGCCTCCTCATCCCGGAGCATGAGAACGGATACCCCTCCTGCGGCCCGAGCCCCTGGCATCACCCGAACACTGTCGCAGCGGCAGCTGAGGGTGAAGGGTGGCCCCGAGGACGCCGCCCTCAAGGACAGCGGAACCCCGAAGCGGGCCAGCAGCGTCCGGGCCCCCAGGAAGTGCCCGGAGCCTGCTGAAGGCCCCGGTGCCCACACGGAGGCCTCTCCGAAGGGCAGAGGGGCTGGGGATAGAGCCTCCCTCAGACTGAAGGACTCTGATCGGACCACTCTGGGGAAAATCCTCAGTCCCTTGCGAAAATGATGGGTGCTTGTCCTATCTCTGCCCCCTTAGGACTCAGGGATGGGAGCACTGATTTGGGTTGAGGGCCGGGAAGACGCAGCCTGAGTGTCTTTGCTACACATAGAGCAACCCACTGGGGCTGTCTGTTGACCATCAGGTCCCTGAAGGTACAGTCTGGGAAGCCTGGGGTCTGCAGCCTGCTCTGCGGACTGTGAGTGAGGCCAGCACCCGTCTCACACCCAGGGCCCTGACCCTGACTCCTTCCCTGAAGACATGTAAGGTGACATCAACAAGTTAAAAAAAATTTTTTTTTCTAGCCAGTTTTTATATATCAAAGACTTATTTTTTAATATTATAAAAATTAAAGGTTTTAGTTGGTTCCTTTTGCAGACGAAAGAAATGCCTCCATATACATATATATGGGACATATATATATTCCTTAATATGAAGATATTTTTATCACCCTGTGTTCCCTGGACTCAGGGTTTCACCTGCCCACACCTGGTCCATTGCTGGCAACTGGACTTCTCCGAAAGCCCTTGTGTATCCTGTGATTGGCTCCATCTCCTTGAAGATTTTCATTCATTTTCTGGCTGTTCATTTCTCCTGGTGTGATTCTGGGTGAGGGTTAGAAGGAAAGTTGGATTCAGGTTGACAGAAAGCAGATGCCCATGTGAGTGTCATGGGCAGTGAGGCAGGTGGGCAGCAGCCTCAGTAGAAGGCTGGGTTCTGGGAATGTAAACGTACCATATTTTAACAAAACGGCGTCAGGAGGTTCAGCTGAGCACATCTTTCCACTTGTGTTTCTCCATTTGTGTATCTGTTATAAAACCAAATGAAGGCTGCTATGACCTGTGTTTACTCTGGTTACAGGGAAGAATAACCCTTCTGTCTCCCAGTCTGTCTGCTTCCTTTTATCTCTCTTCACCTGGTCTCAGCTTTCTTTTGTAATGTGGCTTAGAGAGAGCCCTTCCCCACTCCTCATCTTTTTTAATATTGTCATCTCTTTCTTAGTACAGTGGTTTTTTAAGTCCTGATAAAAAACAAATCAGGGTTTATTTTTATTATGTAAAGCAGACCCAAAAAAAGAAAAAATTGCTTTCAGAAGAATGTACATTATCAAGAAAAAAAACTTGTCCCTCTGCCTGCTTTTCCCCACTTGGGGCTACTTATTTGTGAAACCTCATTATAGATCCAACATTGGTAGATGGATGGACTTAGGCAAATACGATGCACTTGTGGCGAATCCGTTACAGTCTCCGTCCTGTAGAATGTTACCTTTTGTCCAAATTAATTGGAAACTCTGAACTTCTGAAGTCAGCTAAGTTTTAAAGGTGAATGTTATGGTTGAAGAAGTAAGGTGCCTGACCACGATCTCTTGTAAAACCAGCCCTGGGTGGAAATTTCCAAAGCTCCGCAAAGATGCTTGTGGGAATCCTGAGCTACTTCTCACATCTCAAGACATCATGTGTTCAGCCAGGTAAACAAAGATGTTTACAACATGGGTGGGCTGGAAATGGAGAAAAGAGGTCATAACCTTTGTGGATTGTGGATAATGGAGGGGTCAGGACCCTTTAGAGGGACCCTGGCTCCCAGTCCCTGCCCTTTCATTTCGCAAGTCACCTATCCCTAAGCCTCTGTTTCCCAGTCCATAGACAAGGGGCATGATGGTCTCTAAGAGTCCTTCCAACTCCAAGAATCCAGGGCAGGTAAACAACCAAGGACCTGTCTCTGCCCTGGATCAGCTTCTTAGAATGAACCTTGGGCATCTCTATACCAAAGGCCTCATTTCAAGAACAGCTCAGAAGAAAGCACCTTCAGAATGAGTTGTTGCTGTAAAATTGAATAAGCTGAGTTTCCTAGAACGTGGTGCTTTATTTAGCCCTGTGGACAAGTTCTATATGCATCTGTGTGAGCAGGTGATCATTCTATTACCTTTTATCGGTAGTAAGCTTGGAAAAATAATTTAAATATATGATGGAGAAGTGTAAATAAGTGTCATGTAAATTTGTTTAAGATGAAATGAATGTATTTAAAGGTCCATTTATATGTGCTTTTATGTAACATGTAGTTTAATAAATTCCTGTTTAAGGAAGTTGTATTTTATATTGGCTTCTTCTATGGCTGTGTCTGTGTGGCCCTGCTGGGAGACTATTTAATTTCCTGTCCAGAGAGAAGCTGGGATACAGGAAGTAAGGGAGTGGTGGTATATAGCAGTCTTGCCCTTGAGAGCCAAAATGAGGCTGTTGGCCCTATGTTGTCTTGGTAGCAGAACCTGCTCGTAATTGAGGACCTAGGGAGTGGCCTTGCCCCAGACCTGTGGGGGTGCAAGCACGCGTCTGACACGCAGGCCATTGATGGAGTTTTTGGCTCACATTATTCCATGTTGGGCTGGCCTTGTCTAATTTCCATGAGCCTGGCAAGTCTGGATCTGCTCCCATGTGCCCTGCGTTCTGGCTCAGGATACCATTAGGAAATCACAGCTCACCTGCGTGACTGGCTCAGGAATGAACAGAGAGAGAGGAAAGTGTTGCTTTATTTGAAAAGAAAGAGGGATTGTACATCAGATGCACCTCTTAAATGTGATTTTATATAACGTTTTAGCCCCAAGCTAGTCTCCTATTTTATGTGAAGTGGTTTAGAGGAATATCCCTGGGCCGGTTATCAACATGAGAGTCACTGATGTCCTTGTTGTGAGCTGCTACTTAAACCTCAGGCATTTAAAACCTGGTTTTGCCTGTGCTCCTGTGTTGCCAACAATTTGGGACACCAGATGGGGGTTATTAACATAACTCCACCCCTAAAAAATGCTTTTATTTTCCGGGTGGGTCTCAAGTAATTTTCTTTTTACCCTTTTATGGCTTTCACAAGGGACCTGTGTTCCAATCCTCCCACAGACATTCATTGAATCAAAGGGGCCACCATTTACTAATTGCTCATTTAAGATTCTACATGTGTGGCATGGGAGGCCCCAGAATACTCTGGTATTTTCTTCTGAGGTATACAAAGTTGTAAACGTCTGCCTTGAAGGATACAGTGTCTTTCTCCTCCCTCTTGCCATCTGACAGTACTGACATTTTGCAGTTTCACAGAGATTTCTTTTTCTTTTTATTTTTTTTAGTGTCTCACTTTGTCGCTCTCAGTAGAGTGCCATAGCATCACAGCTTACAGCAATGTCTTGCTTATGGGCTTAGGTGATTCTCTTGCCTCAGCCTCCCAAGTAGCTGGGACTACAGGCACCTGCCACAACACTTGGCTATTTTTTGTTGCAGTTTGGCTGGGGCTAGGCTCGAGCCTGCTACCCTCGGTATATGGGGCCAGTGCCCTACTCACTGAGCCACAGGCGCCATCTATGACATTTCCACTGAAACTTAAACTTTGTTCTTAGTTCTTTATTATACTTTTTATTCACACATCAGCCTGCAACAAAAAAATATATAGAAGTTTTTTATTTTTTTTGGCATGTGTCCCCAAACACTACGAGCATCGTATATGTATTTATAACAAAGAAGGAAAATGCACCTGGTCGCTCAGTCAGTGCTTTTTAAATTGATATGGGCTGTGGGCATGAACAAAACCAAATGGGGTGCAGCAGACATGCATAACCACCCTACTCAGCATCTCTAGGGCAACAACAACGCGCAGCTCAGACTGAGTCTGTGGCAAGGTTGAAAACATAACCTGGAGCAACCTCTCCTTGGGGGCTGTTTCACCCACTAATATCATCCAGTTAAAATGCCCTGTGGCTCATTAGGTCACCTAAATGAAGATAAGAGTAACATTCTTACCTTTTAAGAAAATGCTTTTTTGTCTTCTGGGCCACAGTTCTGCCCAGAAGGGGCCCTGATGGGACTTTTGGCTCCCTGATTGATTGGTAGGACAACTAAACTCTGATGCAAGGTCATGGCCCCAAGCAGCATTCACAGTCTGCTCATTCATGGCCCCTTTCCTAAGGGCCCGCCCGGAGCCTGGCATCCCTCACCATTTCCCTATTGAGTAGAGGTACCTGAGCCTCTCAGTAAGGATGTCTGCTTGATGTCTGCCTGATGGATTCATGCCAGGCTTTTAGAATCAGGTACTGGGCTTTGCCTCTAGAAACATTCAAGGACAGTCAAGGGCGGACGTTCCTCAAGTTTGCTTGCAATTAGACTTGAGGAGTTCAGAATGCACTTTCCCATGGCAATGGCTCCATGCATGATGGGTAGGTTTCCAACACAGCCCATTAGAAACCTATTTAAATCCAGCTGCTATGATCTGAATATTTGTCCCCACAAAATCTGTATGTTGAAACCCTAACCCCTGAGAAGGTAGGGACTTTGGAACATGATTAGGTTGTAAGCATGGAGCCCTCATAAATGGGATTGGTGCCCTTATAAAAAAAGGCCCAAGGAATTAATTGACCCCTTCAAGCATGTGGGGATGCATCAAGAAATTACCATCTCTGGACAAGGGAGTGGGCCCTTACCACACAACGAATTGGTCAGTGCCCTGGTTTAAACGGCCCAGCCTCCAGACTGAGAGAAGTAAATTTCTGATGTTGGCCCTTAACCATATAGCATTCTGTTAGGGCAGCCAGAATGAATGAAGACACCAGGTACGGCTGGACTATAGCACTGATAGTAGAAAAGAATCTCAAGGCAGTGTTTCTGGGGGGAAGGGCAGGGTGCTAGGAAATTTTCTCCTTTACTTTATGGCATCAAGTAGAGGCTAAGACACAACCAGTGAGCTAATAATGGTCACTCACTCTTCACTGCTAGATAAAGAAAGACCTCTCCATTCTTGAGGTCAGTCCCTCAGCCTGAATGTAGAGGCAGACAGGGGTCCCCATTCCTAGGAAATAGGATCCATTTCTATAACTGCAACTATCTTTTGTATGTTCTTCCTAACAGTACACTGGCCCAACAGAAGTGTGCATACCTTCTGCTTTCGATTCTTCAGGAGGGAGTTTGAGTTCGGCCCCTAGCCTCGTGGATAACCAATGAGAAGATGGCAGGGGTTGTACAGCCATGGTCATGATGAGC